AAATTTCCTTTATAAATACAAGGCTATTCAAATATCTTATTTCATATATCTATTTAATGATTGAATTAAGGTAGTTTGTATTTTTCAAGCAGTTGGTCAGCTTCACCCAAATTGTCAAGTTTGTGTGTTTAGTGTTGTTCACTTTATTATCCTTTTGATGTCTGCATGTCCTGTGGTGATTTCTCCAATTTCAGTGCTAAAATACTGCTAACTTCTGTTTTCTCACTTTTTTGGTCAGTTTTTCCAGATGTGTATCAGTTTTATTGATCTTTTCAAAGATCCAGTTCCTTGTTTCATTGATTTTTCTCTATTGCTTTTCTTTTCAGTTTCATTGATTTTTGTTCTTATTTTTATTATTTTCTTTCTCTGCTTGCTTTGGGCATCTTTTGGGTAAATTCCTTTGCTCTGAATTCTATTTACCTGATATTAATTAGCTACTCCTGCTTTCTTTTGATTAATGTTTTGATTAATTTGTAATAAGTTTCTTGTAGATAACATATACATAAGTCCTGGTTTTTCATCCACTGTACCAATCTTTATCTTTTAATTGGTGTATTTAGACCATTTGCCTGTAATGTAGTTATTGATATATTAGGGCTTAAGTGTGCCATTTTATTTTTTGTTTTCTATTTGTTCTGTTTTCTTCTTTCTGCTTTCTTGTGTAAGTTACTCGAATGTTTTTCTTTTTAGAATTCCATTTGAATTTATCTATAGTGTTGTTTTTTTTTGTTTTTTTTTGTTTTGCGGTACGCGGGCCTCTCACTGTTGTGACCTCTCCCGTTGTGGAGCACAGACTCCGGACGCGCAGGCTCAGCGGCCATGGCTCACGGCACAGCCGCTCCACAGCATGTGGAATCCTCCCAGACTGGGGCACGAACCCGTGTCCCCTGCATTGGCAGGCGGATTCTCAACCACTGCGCCGCCAGGGAAGCCCTATAGTGTTTTTTTAATATATTATTTTGTATAGCGTTTTTAGTGGGTGCTCTAGGTATTATGTTATATATACATAACTTATTACAATCTACTGGTATAAACAATTTACCATTTCAAGTGATATATAGAAACATTACCTCACTTTACATCCATTTATGTCTCCCACTTACAACTGTCTTAAATATTTTCTCTACATATATTGAATGTTATAATTTGCATTCAGCTGTCAGATATAACATAGAAAACTCAAGAGGAGGAGGAAAATCTATTGTATTTACCCATATTTTTACTCTTGTTCTTTCTCCTTCCAGCTATTTTAAGATTTTTTTCTTTTATGATTTCCTTTCTGTTCAGATAACTAGCCATTATTATCAGATAGGCCTGCTGGTAACAGATTCTCTTAGTTTTCCTTCGTCTGCAGAGGTCTTGGTTTCCCCTTTATTCCTGAAGGATATTTTCACTGAATATGGAATTTTGAGTTGACAGTTGTTTGCATTTTGCACTTGAAAAATGTGCCAAATTCAGTTAGCATACTTTTCAGTTCTGGTATTTCTATTTGGTTCTTCTGTATATCTTCTGTTTCCTTGCTGTTGACTTTTTATTTCTTCCTCTGTTTTAAGAATGTGTACTGTTGCTTGTCAGACCATTTTTGTATGCTGTGTTAAAATCCTAGTCGGATAATTTGGATGTCTCCTTCATCTGTTGGCATCTATTGATTATCTTTTTCATTCAAATAGAGATATTCTTGGTTCTTGGTATGATGAGTGACTTTTTTTTAATTAAAACTTGGACATTTCAGGTATTATAAGACTCTGGATCTTATTTAAATCCTCTATTTTACCTGGTGTTCTCTCACAAAGCCTAGCAGTGGAAAGGGGAGGGCTGCTGCCCTGTTACAGTCAGGTAGGAGTGGAATTCCAGGTTCCCTTCATGACATGTATTACAGCTGAGGGGGAGGCTGGTTGTGAATCCTTTCAGGGTTGGGTGGGTGTGGGTGCTCTTGCTTGCCAGTAGGTCTCCACTTACCCCAGCCTTACTGCTCGCCACCTGGCCTCCTCTGACATTGTGGGGGGCAGGGGTGCCTCAGCTGGACAGTTGTGAAAGCCCTGATTGCCCTCTAGGCTTCCTCTGAAACCACCCTGGCAGGGAGGAGGAGGGACACCTCATTATTCCAAATCTACTATCCCTGGGTAGATTTGGAAACCCAGACTACCAACTTAGTGTCTGCTGTTCCCACATGGGAAGGGGGATCCACATCCCCTCTCAGCAGACATGAAAGCTTGGCCTCTTACACAGCCTTCTCCCACATCACCCTGAGGTTGGGGTGCCTCATTACAGCCTCACTATGGCAGAAGTCTAGGCTTCCCACTAGCCTTCGCTGGCATGGGGGTGGGGCGTGGCCATAGTTTTTTCTGTGTTGTTTGCCTGAAGTAGATCGGTTATTATCTAAAAGTTTATCTTGATATGCTGCTGCTTTTCTGGTCCTTTTGGCTGGAAAGAGAAAGCTTTTTAAATTTTTTAATATTACCATTATTATTTCTGTGCCTTTCAGTGTTTTTGGGTTGCAAGCTTCCCTGGGACCAAGTCTGGGATATATGAGGCTGTAACAAACCCAGGGAAGTTACCACCTTGGTGCTCATTGGGTCCTGCCATTCCTAATTGGTCTGTCTTCTCTCCAACATTCAGATTATTCTTCTGTTTGTTTCATATATAACATTTAGAATATTTAGTTTTTCTTAGTGAGAGGACTATGAAAAAGTACTTCTTCATTTTTCCAGGAGTGGAAGTTCTGTATTATTTTTTTAAGTGATTTTTTTAAATGCATATTTTAAAAGATTCAGATACTTGCAGTTGTGATCAACACCCCAGAAATAAACCAAATTTATTTGCTTCCTTTTTATAACTGATTCTCTGTAAGCAACCAAAACTACGTTCTAGTTTATGTGTATTTTCCCTTAGCAATAATTTGTTGCTCAAAATAAATTGTGAAAAATTGAGTAATATGACCAACTTCATAAGGAATCTTTTTTTTTTTTTTAATTTGGCTGCATTGGGTCTTTGTTGCTGCACATGGGCTTTCTCTGGTTGCAGCGAGCAGGGCTGTTCTTCATTGCAGCGCGGGCTTCCCATTGTGGTGGCTTCTCTTGTTGTGGAGCACGGGCTCTAGGCGCACGGGCTTCAGTAGTTGTGGCGCACAGGCTTAGTTGCTCCGCGGCATGTGGGATCTTCGCGGACCAGGGCTCAAACCCGTATCCCCTGCATTGGCAGGCGGATTCTTAACCACTGCGCCACCAGGGAAGTCCCCATAAGGAGTCATTTATACGGTTTCTTCCTCTTTTCTGAAAAACAATTTTGAAAAACAAGAAAACCTGGCCTCCTATTTGGGCTCATATTGTACTCTGGTGACACTATGTTTTTATACTTTTAAATTAGACTCATATATCATTTAAGTTACTAATTTCCTATTTTGGTATTAGGGTGTTTTGTTTTTTTTTTAAGTCACCATTTCAAAAGCCTGGACGTATAAAGGTACTGAAGCAGTAGAGGATAAAATATGGTATTAGATACCATGTAATTTCTAGAAAGGTAACAGCCTTGTTAAGTAGAACTGTTCCCATAACACTGTATTCTTTTTTTTTTTTTTTTTTTTTGCGGTACGCGGGCCTCTCACTGCTGTGGCCTCTCCCGCCGCAGAGCAACAGGCTCCGGACGTGCAGGCTCAGCGGCCATGGCTCACGGGCGCAGCTGCTCCGCGGCATGTGGGATCCTCCCGGACCAGGGCACGAACCTGTGTCCCATGCACCGGCAGGCGGACTCTCAACCACTGCGCCACCAGGGAAGCCCAACCCTGTATTCTTAATGCACATTATTTTTGGCCATTTTTCTCTATTGAGCTGCCTATCCTTTTGTCAGTTTATAAGATCTCTTTATGTATTCTGTATATCAGGCTTCTGTTTGTACTCTGAATTGTAGATGATCTTTCCAAATCTGTTATCTCTTTCTTGATTTGTTTATTCTGTCTTTTATCTTTTTTTTTTTTATAGCATTTGGGTTTTCAGTCTTAGTTAAGATTTTGTCTTCCTTTAAATAGTACAGGTAGTATTTTAGATTTCTTTTTGCAAGATTTTTATTGTTTTGGTTTTTAAAGTCAAGTCTCATATCCAACTGGGATTTATTTTGGTATATATTGTAAGGTTGTGTCCAATTTTCTTTCAAATGGGTATTCATTTGTGACAGCATCATTTAATAAATCCTTTTCCCACTGAACTGAAATATTTATGAATTCTCTGTTCTATTCTAGGAATTTGTCTCTTCATATGCCAATATCATATTAATTTTATTACATTAGTATTATAACAGATACATAGAGGATGGAGAAGATATGGTTATAAGGATGGATGAGTTTGACAGTAGTAATCAAGAGTGAAGTTGCTTCTCAGTGTTAACTTTCTAATCAGAAAGGAATTTAATGGAGAGGCCAATTGATAAATTGATAAGTATCTATTGATAACTACCCTTGATGTTGCCAGGTTATATTTTGCATTTGTAAAATATTGAAAAGATGAATGTATACCATTAAGAGCTAATTTTCTGCCAAGTAGTATGTTAGGGGATATATAATTCTCCTCACATCAACTTTATGAGGTTAGATGTAGCTCCCTTTTACAGAAGAGAAAATGGACACTTGTTCTAAGGGTTAAGTTACTTGCCCAGTATTGTGCAACTATTAGATAGTAAAGGTAGGATTAAAACACTAATGACCAGGCTCTTTTCACTATGCCATAATGAAATGTTTCATGAACAGTACTTTGAACACTAAAGATATATGCAAATTGATATGATGGTTATATCATAATCTTCTATCATTAGCACCCGTGAGTTTTATTTTAAAACAATGCAGTGGATAGGGCACAATAAAACTTTACAGCTAACTATTTATAGCAAAGCAATTCTATTTTGATGAAAGAACAATATATATTTATGTGTTCTTTCAAGAATGGTCTATGAATAAAATGTTAGAAGCTATTATGTTATTGATTGGTTCTTTTAAACCTTTTTTTTTTTAGAGCAGAAGAAAGTTAAAGTAAAAAAACCAAAACCTGAATTTCCTGTATATACACCTTTAGAAAGTACATATATTCAATCTTATGATCATGGAACTTCTATAGAAGAAATTGAGGAACAAATGGATGATTGGCTGGAAAATAGAAACAGAGCACAGAAAAAACAGGTAAATTTTTAAAATTTTGTTTTAATTGAGTAAAATACATACTGAAAAGTACATAAAATATAGATGTACAGCTCAGTAAACTATCACATGGTAAATCAAGTTAACCATTGCCAAGATCAAGAAATAGAACATTGCCAGTGTCCAGAAGCCACACTCATGCTTCATCCTGGTCACTACCTTTCTTTTCTTCTACAAAGATAATGATCATCCTGACTTCTAACCATAGATTAGTTTTTCCTGCTGTTTGAAGTTTATAACTGGAATCGTCCTGTCTTAGTCCATTCAGGCTGCTGTAACAAAAATATAATAGACTGGGTGGTTTAAACAACAAACATTTATTTCTCACAGTTCTGAAGACTGGGAAGTTCAAGATCAAGATGCCGGCAGATTCGGTGTCTGGTGAGGGCCCTCTTCCTTATTCATAGACAGCAGTCTTCTTGCTGTGTCCTCACATGGTGGAAGAGGTGAGAGAGCTCTCTGGGATCTCTTTCATAAGGGCACTAATCCCATTCATGAGGACTCCACCCTCATGACCTAAGGAACCCCCAAAGGCCCCACCCCCTACTACCATCACATTGGGGGTTAGGATCGCAACATATAGATGGGGGGACGGACACAGACATTCAGTCCATAACACATTCCATATGTACTATTTTGCATCTGCTTTCCTCTATTCATATAGTATTTGTGATAGTTATTCGTTATTGTGTATAGCGGTAATTTGTTCATTTTCATTGCTGTATAATCCATTTAGAAATATAGCACAATTTATTTTTGTTGGAGATTGATGTTTCCAGTTTTTGACTATAATGAGTAAGTTTCCTTTGCACACTATTGTACTTTCAGTACACGTATGTGTAAACTTCTATTTTTGGAGTTAAGTTGCAGGGTCAGCTTTAGTAAATAATTCTGAATACTTTTTTTTTTTCAATGTTTGTATCAATTTATAGCTCAGCAACAGGATCTGAAAACTTCGATTACTTTACATCCTTGCCAAACTGGGTCAAGTCTTTTATGTTTTTAACCATAGAGTTAGGTGTGTAGTCATATTTAATTATGGTTTAATTTGTATAACCTTTGATGAATAAGTTTAAACACTTTTTCTTATGTTTATTGGACACTGATACTCTCCTATGTGAAATGCCTTTTCAAGTCTTTTTTTATTATTGGGTTGCCTTTGTTTTTTCTTACTGATTTGTAAAGAGGTTTTTAATGTATTTCAGAAGTGAATCTTTGCACATTTTCTCCCACTTCGGCTTGCCTTTTCATTCTCTTAATGGTGTCTTGATGACCAGAGTTATTAATTTTAGTCATCAGTCTTTTTCTTTCCTTTATTTGATGTTTGTGTTGTGTTTAAGAAATCTTTTCCCACTTTGCAGTCATAAAGATATTTCCAAATTTTTCTAGAAGCTTTAGTATTCTACTTTTTACATTTAGATTCATAATCCCCTGGACTTTGTGTTTATTGTAAAGTAATGATGAAGTTTAATATTTTTTCAAAAGTTTTCCAAACCAACTGACCCAATACCAGTTAAAGAAAAGACTGCTTCCTACAGCTCTGCAAATGCCACCTTTATTATAGAACAAGTGTCCATAACCATGTGGTCTGTTTCTAGACTTTCTGCTTTGTTCCATTAATCTATTTCTCCATGCTTGTGCTGATACCACACAATCTGAATTACTGTAGCTACGTACTAGATATCTGGTATAGTAATTTTCCAACTTAGTTTTCCTCCTATAAGATTGCCACTTTACATTCACATATAAATTTTTTTATTTTATTTTATTTTATTTTTGGCTGCATTGGGTCTTCGTTGCTACACGCGGGCTTTCTCTAGTTGTGGTGAGCGGGGGCTACTCTTCCTGGAGGTGCGCAGGCTTCTCATTGCAGTGGCTTCTCTTGTTGCGGAGCACAGGCTCTAGGCGCACGGGCTTCAGTAGTTGTGGCTCGTGGGCTCAGTAGTTGTGGCTCGTGGCTCTAGAGCGCAGGCTCAGTAGTTGTGGCACACGTGCTTAGTTGTTCTGCGGCATGTGGGATCTTCCCGGACCAGGGCTCGAACCCATGTCGCCTGCATTGGCAGGCGGATTCTTAACCACTGCGCCACCAGGGAAGCCCTCACATATAAATTTTTAAAGTAATTTGCCATTTTCCACAAATTATTCAGCTTAGATATTCAATTGGGATTACATTGAATATATAGATTAATTTTGGAAGAACTGGCATCCAGACAGTATTGACTCTACAACCCATGAATAAATCCATTCATATAGGTCTTTAAAAAATTATTTTTAATGTGTTGCAGGTTTTTGTGTGTATGTACTGCACGTTTAAAAAAATATTTATTCCTGGTCATTTAGTGTTTTTAGATGACATTATATATGATATTGTTTTTTTAAACTTCACTTTCCAATTATATTTGCTATATAGAAATACAATTGATTTTTGTATAATAACCTTGTGTCCTGCAACCTTGCTAAATTTATTTTTTAATTTTAACAGTTTTCCTGAGTATTACACTTTTTTTTTCTTTTGTGCTAAGGATCTCTAGTACATGTAGAATAAAAGTGATATAATAAGTATCTTTGTTTCATTTGCAATCTCAAAAAAGCTTTCTTTATTAAAAGTTTTATTTCATTATTAAAATTATATATTCTTTTATTTAACTGTTAAATGTGATATGTGCTGTAGGCTTTCTGTAGCATTTTTTACTGAGACACACTTCACATAACATAAAATTCACCATTTAAAAGTGCACACAGTTCAGTGGTTGTCATCTGTTCACTATGTTGTGCAACCATCACCACTATCTAATTCAAGATTTTCATCACACCAAAAAAATAAGTAAATAACCCTCTACCTGTTAGCAGTTAGCTCCAATTCTCCTCTCTCCCCTTCCCTGGCAACTGCTAATCTATTTTCTGTCTATGGATTTGCCTATTCTAGACATTTCACATAATTGGTATCATACAGTATGTGGCCTTTTTTTTTTTTTTTTTTCTTTTCAGTATGTGGCCTTTTGTGTTTTGCTTGGCATAAAGTATTCAGGGTTGTGTTATTTAACAGTACTTCATTTCTTCTTATGGCTAAATAATATTCCATCATGGATATATATCACATACTGTTTATCCATTCTTCAGCTAATGGGTATTTAGTTTGATTCCTCTTTGGGGCTATGATAAAAATGCTATGAACATTCACATACAGGTCTTTATTCAGACATATATTTTGTGGTTTCTCTAGGGATTACATTAACATCTTAATTTATAACAATCTAGTTAGGATTAATGCCAACTTAGTTTCAGTAGTGTTAAACTTTCCGCCATATAATGTGTTATTGTCACAGATTAAATCTATATATATTGTGTGCCTGTCAATTTAGATTTATAACTATTGCTTTATGCAGTTGTCTTTTAGTGAGATTAAAAAAGAATTACAAACAAAAATTACATTTATGCTCTTTTGTATATTTACCTTTGTAAATACAAAAACACCTATCCTGGTGTTTATTTCTTCATATGCCATTGAGTAACTGTCTAATGTCCCTTCATTTCGTTCTGAAGGAATCCCTTTAAGCGCTTGTAACAGGGCCAGACTGCTAGCAACAAACTCTCTCACTTTTTGTTTATCTGGGAATGTCCAAATTTTTCCTTCATTTTTGAAGGATAGTTTTGCCAGATAAATAATTTTGGTTTGACTGTTCTTTTCTTTCAGCACTTTGAGTACATCACCCCACTACCTTCTACCTTCTGGTTTCTGATTAGAAATCAGATGTTAATCTTATTGATGATCGCTTTTACATGATGAGATACTTGTCCTTTCCTGTTTTGAAGATTCTTTCTTTGTCTTTAGCTTTTGATCAGTTTGATTGTGATGTATGTAGATGTGGATTCCTGTGAGTTTATCCTTTTGGAGTTCATTGAGCTTCAAATTTTAGAAGTTTTGACCATTATTCTTCAAATATTCTCTCTTTCTCTCTCCCCCCCTTCTCCTTCCTCCTTTCGCCTTTCTGTTACTCGTATTAAGCATATGTTGATATATTTAATGGTATCCCACAGGCCTCTGAGGCTTTGCTTATTTTTCTTAATTCTCTTTTCTTTCTGTTCTTCAGACCAGATAATCTCAGTGGGTTTATTTGTCAGTTTGCTGATTCTTTCTCTGCCTGTTCAAACCTGCTGTTGAGCCCCTCTAGTGAATTCTTAATTTGTTATTGCACTTTTCACCCTCAGAATTTCTATTTTATTCCTTTTAATAATTTCTACCTATTTATTGATTTATTCTCAACTAGGTGACACATTGTTCTCATACTTTCCCTTTAGTTTTTTGGGCATGGTTTCCTTTAGCTTGTTGAATATTTAAAATAGCTGATTTACTCTTTTTTTTTTTTTTTTGCGGTACGCGGGCCTCTCACTGTTGTGGCCTCTCCCGCTGTGGAGCACAGGCTCCGGACGCGCAGGCCCAGCGGCCACGGCTCACAGGCCCAGCCACTCCGCGGCATGTGGGATCCTCCCGGACCGGGGCACGAACCCATGTCCCCTGCACCGGCAGGCGGACTCTCAACCACTGCGCCACCAGGGAAGCCCTAAAATAGCTGATTTAAAGCCTTTGCCTAGAAATTCCAGTGTCTGGTCTTCCTCAGGCACAGTTTCTATTTATTTTTTCCTTTGTTTGGGCCATACTATATTGTTTCTTTGCAGGTATGGCACTTATCGTTGTTCCTGTTGAAGACTGGGTATTGTGACAGTTATTAGTTGCGACTCTGAAAAAATCAGATTCTCTCCCCTTTCCAGGATTTATTGTTATGTTTGGCTTATTGTAGTTGTTGTTTGTTTGTTTACAGACTTTTCTGTACCAATTCTACAAACTCTGTTTCTTTTGTTTTGTGTAGCCACTGAAGTCTCTATTCAGTTAACTTAGTGATCAGCTAATAATTGGACAGAGATTTCCTTGAATGCCTGTAGCCAAAATTTCTTCCAGTCTTTGCCATGGGCTCTGTGTATGT